TACTGATGAATCGAAAGAGGGAAATGTTTGCACTCCGTCCTTCAGTCAGTCTGGCGGTATGTTTTCCGCACTTTTTTTGTTATGTCTTGTTCAATCAATTATTTATTCGGTACACAATCATATCATAAGAAGTTACAGTGTGTTTTCGGTTGAATATTTCTGAAGTTCTAGCAGTTGGAAAATAGAAAACTGCTTGAAAAAGTAAGTTTTTCCGCACTCAAGTTTTTTTTTCTGTAATTCACGAATCAACTGCTGAGGATTTTTGGATCTGATGAATATTTTTCTTCGTCTAGTGAATAGTTGTCTCCGTCTGCTGAATAGTGTGATTCAATTTCAATTGCACCACATATCTTTAGAAATTGCTTAAAAATATCAGCTGTCCCAGAGAGAAAAAAGAATCATCGAGATTTTTGGAAATAACCTTTTTCGACAAATAACTATTGGTAACCGATTAACGACAAGATGGACATTCCCAACTTCAAAATGCAGTACTAGTAGCAAATTTTCCCAAGTATGAATTTACAATTCAACAGACCTCCTTCTCAATGGAATATTTGTCTCAAATAGGTGTAAACTCATGCAATGTTCCAGGCGAAAGATTACATTGTATTGCGTATGAAAAACCATCAGAATTCTTTATATTTCTAATAAATTTAATTTTTCCTCAGAGTTCCATAATTGGGAATTTCCTTGTGAAATTTTGGAATGTATTTGTAAGCTCTGTCAACTTTCAGAAAAAAAATCTTAACTGAGAAAGTACAGTTAAAATTTGTTTAAAAATAAAAGGTCTACATAAAAGTGGATATAGAGTTAACAATAATCATACAATACGCCAACAACAAACTGTTAGGCAAAGCTTTACATTACATTGGTTTACCCCCTTTGGTTTGTACACTTTTTATCTCTATTACACAGAGAACTAATGTTATATATTTGTCATATATTCTAAAGTTATTCTTCTTGAATATAATTCATTTCTGATAATTCATAGATTATTTTTTTATTGCAGTGAGTTAAAAGAGGCAACCCCATTTTTATATAATAAGTAGTTATTATTGGGCCCTCGGCGGTTCACTCCTTTAAATAAATAATTTGATTTTAATGTTCATATCAAATCATTGATTTAAGGTAAAGAGTTAAACAAAATTAAAAGCTTTAAGTTATAATTACACTAACTCACCAACTCACTGCGATTTCCTTGTTGATAACCAAAGAGCTATGGTTCCGCTTAAATATTAGTTGGAACATTGTTGGATATTTAACTTATATGTATCTTGTTTTGGAAATTGCATATAAACAGAAAATCAAAGCAAATAAAAGCAAAAAGATATGGAAATGTAAAGGAATAAATCACAATAACACTTTATAAATTTCGTGCGTCCGAAGTGCTTTTCTGGATTTTCCGTCACCGGGAACGCCCGAACCCAAACATTTAAAAGCTATGGATGTAAAAATCACATGCTTTTAAAATGTTTAATGTCATAAAATTTACTAATTTAATTCATGTTATCCTTTTTGATGTAGTATATAAACAGATTATAATATTCATTTCCGACAGTGAACCAGTTTATTAGTACTATAATGATTCATTAAACAAGATGTATCTTTAATTTTTAAATGATTAGTTGTGATTCACATGATGGAGATTTTTTATTTGTGATAACGAGGGATATTACAAGTACCTTACGTAATTCAGACATATTAATAACAGGATCAGCCTCGGGCTTCAAAGAATCTATAACATTTGTGGCGAGAGGTAACACACAGGGTTTATAAAGAAGTGTATTTGGCAAGACCTTTCGGAATGTAAGGTCCTCAATGCTCTTCAACTGTGTACTTTATTTACGAATCAAATTGGCCTTTGATCATTTTTGATTCGAGCGTCATTGATGAGTGTTATGTAGACGAAACGCTCGTAAGACGTACAAAGTATAAAGCCGATATCTTTGATTAGTTTTGTTACAATCACTTAGTCGGATGCCACTTCTGGTGGAGGATTCCTACCAAAGGGTATTACCTGTCCAGTATTCAGCACATCTGTGCTGACATGAATTATCATTGATATGGTAATATTTATAAAATTACTGGTAACCAACAAACTTAAATTTTTCAATATATTAAGGATTTTTATCCTAAGGAATAGATTACATAAGCTGTATTTGGCAATATCTTTCTGCATTTTGGGTCCTCAATGCTCTTCAAATTCGTACTTTATTTGCCCTTTTAACTTTTTTAAATCAATTGTTGGTAATGAGTCTTCTGTAGACGAAACGACCGTCTGGCTACAAAATGGTGAGTTTTGAAGACTTTCAATAATACCAGCCTTCAATTAGGTTTTTTAAAATACTATAACATCTGGACAATTTAGTCTGACCTTTTTTCATATGTTCAGTTTTTCACGTTTAGTTCATTTGAATTAATGTCAATGCTAAATTGTAATATTAATAGATTCAATTGAAAACATGCTGATTTGACACGACTCACTAAATATGACCTAATTTTCATTCATCAGTGAATCACATCCGACATCACTGATAAGGTCAATTTAGATATATTATTAGAATTTGTTAGCTGTATGTGTTTCATATGTTAATTGAAAGGTAAACAGGGTTTGACTTGATTTGCAGGATGCAGTGCTGCACTTGGTGGCCAATTACGAAAAAAGGTCAATGGCATTTCGATTACGAATCGTTATGCGAAATGCCTGTACAAAACTGATTACTTGATCTTGAGTGAATCTTTAAATTTTTATATTTTCAATTATGGCCAATTTCTTGAAATATTTGGTTAAACTTAATATATAAATAGAAGGTCCCTCTTTTGGCATGTTTATTTTAGTAAATAATCGGTACGGAGGTGATTCGGACACTTCGTCTTCTAATGTTCATTTAACTTTGGTTAGATAATATATGTCTTGTCCGCTAGACGTAAAAACAAACAAGACAATCCCCAACATCTAAAAAAAATCAAGGAATTTCACAATCAATATAAATTGAACCTTTGACCTTTGAAGCATTCATTAGTTGCCCCATTGGTCCATTTAAAATAGGGGATATTTTCCCCTTAACTGTTGGGTCACTCACTTTTAGAGAAAGAAATGTGATACATGCCCTCATGTGACAAAGCAAAAAACATTGTGTTTCATTACCCTCTCGTCCTTGCATGCTTAAGTTCATTGGAAAATAAAATCAATAGTGTTGATTTTTAGACAGAAAAATGGTGACTTTTCTGTTTTAAGTATGCTGTTAGTTTGATCCCATTTTGACAGAGAAATTGCGACTTTTCTGTTCTAAATGGGATGTCAGTTTAATTCAATTTAGACAGGAAATGGCGACTTTTCTATTTTAGATGGGATGTTGGTTTAACTCAATTTAGACAGAGATATGGCGACTTTTCTGTTTGAAGTTGGATGTAAGTTTTTTCATACGTTAAACAGAAAAGTCGTATGTAAGTTACATCTCATGTAAATTCGCAATTCCCTTGTCTCAATCGAAACAAACAATACTTATCTTTAAAAGTGAAATAAACATATACAACAGTATGCTGTATTGACACAATGAGTAAGTTAATGCCACGTGACGGAAATTGGTCCCTGGCGATAACTGATCATTGACCAGTACAGTTTCAATTGTTAATTTCTAATGAATAATGGCTAATAGATTCAGAACTTTGATTAAAATTTTAAAGAATGAAGAATATCGTCCACATTTCAGGAAATAATGACAGAATGTCTGATTTAATTGACACTGATTATTCCGTTCTTGATACAAATTAGCAATGTATCATAAGGGTTTCAAATAAAAAAATCGTTTTGTGGAGTGATCGGTAAATGATGATAACTGGTTGTGGTACCCATAAAGTATAGCTCCAAAATGTATGGTCTTTTCTTCAATGATTAATAGTATTCGAAAGTCCTAATTTATGATGGGTACCTGCCTTATGTTATTCCTTTACACATTAGAATAATATTTCAAAGACACGTTCTGTTAAGACTATTTTTCTGTAAATGTATTAAATATCAAATCAGAGAATTTGAGAATTTTTTAAAATACATTTGATTTACATACCAATTTGGGCCAAATTCAAAACATTTCCTTCATAGTTTATAAATTTTAATATTCCTAAATTGAAGGTTAAACTCTATCAGACAAAGTTGACTTCAGATGGTTTTGTCTATTCTGTTTAAGTGCCACATTGCTTTTGGTACTCGCTAGAGCGATATAAATGTGAAAGGAAGTAAATGTCTTTTTTCTGAAACTGAAATATTTCATTCAGAAAGCCTATAGTTGAAATTTATCTTATTTTATGCAATGAACACAATACATTCTTGCGTGGGAATAATTATGTCATATTAATCACCAGACTAGGAAGAAGTTCTTCAGAAGATAAGCTCTTCAACAAATGTTCTACAGCTGGTGTCCTTTCCATTATACTGGGTCACGTCGTTTGAAATATATATGAAAGCCCACAAAAACTTATAGCTAGTTTGAAGTGTGTCTTAAACTTTCACACCACTATCTTTCACTTTAGAATACGATTAAAAACGATTTAAATGTTGACATCATAGATAAATACATGAGAAACAATTTCTATAACCTTAATGTCCGCTTATTCGTTTATCTTAATGACTTCGTAGTATTGATATGTACTGTGAAATTATCATAATTCTAAGCTTTACTAAGTACTAATGTACTAACAAATAGACACTTGTCAATGATTTATTGCCTATCATTGATTCGATGAATACGCGAGAACTGACATTTGCTGCTGCTTTAATTCATGCGTTGTTTTCTTATTACAGGAACCAGTGTTTAACCCTTCTTTATTCAGTGTTTAATGACTTAAAAAACCCTTCAAAGTTCCCCGCAAGGCATGTAAAAATAATGCATGTATCATCGTTAATAAGATGTGTATTTTGATGTTTGTTGTAATTACGACGATAACCTTGTACATTTTATGATATTATTTATTCTTTTCCATTTGTAAATGTCTAGTTTGCCATTTGAAGGAGTCAAAAATATCACAATTGTAATGTTTTCACCTGTCATGTCTGAGTAATAATGTGGTCTTAAATTCTTTGTTCAGTCGCATTGTACCACACTTGTTAATTGAAGACAGGAGAGGTAATAAGCTTTTATATTTATACTTTCTTACAGGCAATATTGTACAAATATATTAATTATTTTGATTTGAATTTTTTTTTCGAAAGGAAAGTAAATCAAAAGTTTGATATGAATTTTCAAAAACATCAATACTTTAACATGTGTTTAATAACAAAGCATAAAGGAATAAGAAACAAACAAAACGTAGCTTGGCTTGCTATGATAACTTCTATCAATAGAATTTAAATAGGTAGTTTTACAAACTCATCAAAGGAGAAGCGAAAGATACCAACGGGATATTCAAACTCATAAGTCGAAGATATAATGCGAATAACTTAGTACACCAAACGTGTATTTCTTTTATACAAGAATAATGATGCTTGAATCAAAACAATAGGAAGGCTAACATAGCTAAGTAAATTAAGAGGATGAAGAGCATTGACCACCTACAATTCCTAAAACGTGTGCCAAATCTTGCTACGGTCATCTATGTTTTGGGATAGAAACCATTAGTTTTGCGAATTATTTATAAGTTTTATGGACGGCAAATTTATAGACAATACCAGTATTTCAATGATATTTCATGCAAGCAAATGAGTGTTGAATATTTGGGTGGTGATACTCTCAAGGACTTAACATCGATCCAGCGGTTGTAAAACATATTATTAAATATACCCCACTTAAAAGTAAGTACATAAAACGCGTGTTAACACGAGTTCATATACAAGCATATACAAAAAAGCAAAAATTGTCGAGCATAGCTAGGAAACTAAATTAATCCACTAGATAACGGAATATATTACTACAAAAAGATCGACGAGCTGAAAATATTTGAAACTCATTTTGATTTATGTAAACAACCCTCCCACACTCACAACTAAAATTAAACACTCCTGTACCATTTTCATCAATGTTTAGTGCAGACTCCTAGTTTAATGTTATCTATTTTCATAACTGGAAATTGTCTCGAAATAAATGAAACCAGTTGTAATATTGATTCAATTATTTATTACATATGTTATATGGGATCGTTACGAACACACATTAAGAGTAATCTGAAAGTATTGCAATTTTATTTTGATAAATGTGAGTGTAAGATATAGTTGAAGTAGAAATACGTCAACTAACAACTTTGGCAGCACTAAAATAATATATATAACAATAAAAACGTAACAAAATGTACTTAAACCCTGCTGGTCTAGGTATATTATGTCATAGTTGTTTTAATGTTTTGATTTCAATCAATAGAAAACCATAGACACTAATATATATTAAATCTGTTGTTTGTATATAAAACAGATTCAAATAGGAAGCCATGAAGCCTGTTATAGTATTTCTTTTTTCGATACTGATTGTTGTGGATTCTGTGTGGCAGAAACCTGGATTTTGTGGAACATACGAATGCCCAGAGTATACTCTGGACGAACAAGGAAAGGTAGGGTTTTGTTAATACGTGCTAGTTGGGAAAAATCTCTTTTCCGTCTAACAGTTACGATGGTGTAAGCTTTGTCTTTTGGTCAATTTTTGAGTGTTTATGTTTAATTTTATATAAGTAATGATTAAGATATTAAGGCAACAGTAGTTTACCGACGTTCAAATCTCATAATCGATTAAAAAACGAAAATTGAGGGAACCGCATAATCGCACAAATATATCGAGACCGGTCGCGTCGACAGGGTAAAAAGTAAACTAACAAAAATACCGAACTCCGAGGAAAATTCAAAATGGCAAAATCAAAAGTTTAAACACATCAATCGTTGGATAACAACTGTCACATTCCTGACTTGGTACAGGCATTTTCTTATGTAGAAAATGGTGGATTAAACCTGGTTTTATAGCTAGCTAAACCTCTCACTTGTATGACAATCGCATAATTTTCCATTATATTGACAACGATGTGTGATCAAAACAAACAGACATAACAGGTAAAAATGTCAAAAATAGGGGTACAGCAGTCAACATTGTGTTATAATCTTAATCACTATAAAACAAACAAATATTTAACAAAGAAACACAAAAATATACCATAGCACAATAACACAATGACGGGATGTGTAAGTACAGAGCCACTATTATGTAACAAAGAAACACAAAAAGGCATATAGACAAAGTACTTTAGCAAAAATGAAAGACAAGAATACAAAAACTTTACCATAGAACAATAACACTATGACGGGATGTATAAGTACAGAGCCTCGTCAATTGGATATCACCTCTCCTGCTAATGATGCACCAACCGTCATGCGAATCCACACTTCGTCAAAATGTTACAATCGGAAATCAGACACAAAATCCGCAAAAATCCAGTTCAGACGACTATTCTGGTATCTTAAGATCTAAGACCGGGAAATCATGTAGATAGTGAGTTGAGAAACATACATCATAGTTTAACCAATTCGTGATAGTGACTGTAAAATTAACGTAGCGTCGATTTTAGTAGTTCTTCCTCATAACTTTCTTGCAGCAGTTTGTTTGTAAGCAGCAGCACTCCTTCTTAAATGAGTAATACCACCATTTCATTGCATATAAGATAATAACCATCACTGGAAGTTAACCAATCAAATTGTCACCCCTTTTTCCTGTTTACAAGCTTTAGTAACCATGTAACGTCAAGTTTCCAAAAATATTTTATAGAAACAGAAATAAAAAAAGAATGGGGCTTTAAAATACCCAAGATATGTGTATGACTCAGAAATGTTTTACTGCAATGAAGTGTAGGATTAATTTCCTTCAACTGTCAAATTCAATGGAATATTTTTTCGGCCCTTGTTCGCATGAAACCGGATGTGACTTACTATGATTGAGTAGTATTACACCTAAAAAAAGCTTTTTTGTTGAATAATCTGAATGCGATTATTTTCCTTTGAAATACTGGTTATTTCAAGCATTACTGTAAAGTTTTTTCATAATCAGTTCAATAGTTTAGGAGAAATCTAGTACAATGTAAGACGACATCTACAGCGATTTGAGCAAAATTTCTTCAAAAAATTCAAATCCTGCTGCATCATGCTAGAATATAGTATGGACCAATAAATGATCAAATATTCATCTCTTCTGCATACAAACAGTTGAATATGATACAAAAGCTGACTCTAAGATGATAAATACCACCAATGGACCTCTTTGTCTTCATTATAAGGTCTCTTTTGGTCCATTTATACCTCTCATTTCCTCAAAATTTGAACTTTTTAGGTCAATAAATCAAAATTTTGGGATAACTATCACACATTTAGGCAAGATGCAAGAAATGTAATAATAAATGAGTAATTGAAGTGTTCAAGCTGAATGAACTTTCAATATAAAAGTTCACTTACTCCATGGAGGTTTCAATAAGTCCTTACGTAAAACTTAAGTTTATGCCGCGCTCCATAAGGGACATAAAATGCATCCCTTTTAGTGAATAATTTGTTGTTACTGCTTCAAAAACAATTTCATTTACTTATAACTGTATATTTCTTAAAGTATTAGGAAAACGTTTTCTTTCATCGCAAAATATAATATTTCATTTTTGCATATTTCACAAAAATAGCATGAAATTTTAACAGATGAGAGTACATACAAGGTCAAAGGTGCATGTGCAGCTTCCCTAAATAGAAGTAATACCACCATAAATATTGTTTTTCTCCTATTAGTCTTTGTTAAATTGGCACATTTAAAAAAATGTGCAGAATTTATGTTTGTTTCAAATAAAGAAATACTTGGCATGAGCAAAGTTTTATCCTGTCCAGTACTGCAGACAAAATTTCACATAACATTTCATTTCATAGTTTCGGTAGTATCATGAATCTCAAGTTCAATGAGATATATGAGATGCAAGCAATCGCTGAAATGTGTGTTATTGAAAGACAGGACATCATCAATTTATCTGAAAGTCAAATAAAATAACCTTGGAATTGTATGCGACTGTCATTCAATTGAGAGGTTTATCTAGCTATAAAACCAGGTTTAATCCACCATTTTCTACATAAGGAAATGCCTGTACCAAGTCAGGAATATGCCAGTTGTTTTCCATTCGATTGATGTGTTTGAACTTTTGATTTTCCCATTTGATGAGGGACTTTCCAATTTGAATTTTCCTTGGAGCTCGATATTTTATTATTTTACTTTTTTGCAAGATGTTTTGTTTTTTCAAAACCATTGTTCCCAATATTTTAGTCACCTCCGCACCGTTGTTCATTTATTCATATCGTTTAACTTTTATTTGTTTACGGTTACTACACGATTAAAGGGTAAATGGTAACGAAAGAAGTTTATTTTTAAAATATTCAAGTCATTGGTAAGGCACTTTTGTAACTTTAGAACTTAATTTAGTAAAACTTATTACATCTGCTCTTTCAAAATAATTTAACATATCAACTATATTATTTCAGGGATATGAGAAACGCTTTTATGCCACTGCAACATGGGTCACAACTTCTGCGGCTGGCAGTTACAAAAATGCAACCACAACGACATTTTCTAAACTGCAAAATTATTTAAAACAGTTAAATATAGAAGGTATTTAAAAAAAACAACCTCTAACCATATTCAGATATTTGATTTTAAGATCAGTTCCCTCTACAGTTAAGTACTTTAATAAGATAAAAACAAAATAGTTGCATATTGATGGAAAGAACCATGTTTTCACATCCGTATACAAAATACATGAAAAATAAAGAAAAAAGGTCTTTAATTATACCGAGAAAATAGATCACATCAATGCAAACTTAAATCTAAGAGTACTATACAAATAAAAAGATGTGGTATGATTGCCAATGAGACAACTCTCCACAAGAGACCAAATGACACAGAAATTAACAACAATCGGTCACCGTACGGCCTCAACAATGAGCAAAACCCATACCGCATAGTCAGCTATAAAAAGCCCCGAAATGGCATATGTAAAACAATTCAAACAAGAAAACTAACGGCCTGATTTATGTACAAAATAATGAACGAAAAACAAATATGATATACAGCAACACACGAAAACCACAGGCTCCTGGAAATTTGAACATGCTCTCAATCCCATAGAACTTAATTATTGTCTCAACACTGTATGAGAGAGTGTTCACCAATGATATTGAAAGCGTTTTATCTGTTTGTAAAATGCCGCCTTCTCGTACTCTTATACAGTATGAATGAATATGTTTGAAATATCAATTAAAAAAGTGGTGTTTAACACGATACAATGCCGTGAACACTGTTAATTTGAAACTATTGGTAAAGTAGTTTCATTGAAAGAGTGACAATATATTGAAGAGACTATGATTTAAAACATACGTTCCTCAAGATGGTATCTACTTTGTGATGCTGATATATTGTATTGGTGGTACAGTTATCTTGCTACCAATTTCACCATGCCACTGAAATCTTTTGTCGTAGTTGTATGCCAAAGTATGAAACAGACCTGAGTGCATCTGTGGCAATCTTTATTTCTAGTTCAGATGGATACACCATAGGTACGATGAAAATAGTCTCCAAAGACTTTGTGTCTTAGATATTCCCCATGTCCAAGCATATACAAGTTTTCTGAATAATCAATGACAACTAACTAAAAAACCGCTTGTCATAACAATAACTATTACAGTAACAAATCGTTTAGACAATATCAGCAAGTTGCAATTCACTTGTAGAAAGACCTGACAAAAAGGAATAAGCGATGAAATGTGCAATTCAAACGGATGAACAGACCTAACAATTCTCAAACACTAATTCTGCCTAAAAAGATGTTCGATGAAAAATTCGCCACAATCATAGTATGAAGTTTCATAACCCCTCTACATTTTCAGAGAAAAACTATAATCATACATATTTGGTGGAAACTGGAGTTATTTTCATTAAACACCCCAAAGACAGAAACAGGGCACTTCTTCTTTTTCTTCTTAATTGAAGGTCTTAAACGATATTCTAACAGCTTAAAGCAAATTCCAGACGTCCTTGGCTTACACTTATGGCAAACCCTGTTTCTTAAATATAAAATCTACAACAGTTTGTGAAAGTACCTTATCAAGAGTCATCAATAAACTACATAAATGACTTTTTATACTTTCATATACCGCCTCATTCGTTGCACCACAAAGTAGTACATCTTATTGACGAAATGAAGGCACCAATGAAATCACATGTGTCGTGACGTTTTCTTTTAATTTCCTATTCTAATGTTTATAATATCAACTAATTAAGTAATTATACCCACGCTACGAACTAGAGCATTATATAGTTTCTTACCTTTCTGGAAGCTAACTCAAATACATAATATAGGAATACAACCTTACTGGGATATATGGTCACATAAAATGAGTAGAATATCCTTAGTGATTTTGATCTGACATGTCAAAGTTCAAGGTCTTTGCCGAAAAGCTGCTACCAGATGCTTAATCAAATACTACAGATGTAATCCTACTTGAATATATGTCACATTAATTTATAGGAAGATCCCTTTTGATTTTAAGGTCGATAGTTCAAAGGTAAAGGTCATACTTACCAAAATAGACCGAAATGTGTATAGAAAAGTGGATTTCGGATACTATTCAAATACTACAATTGGGTGGATATAGAGATGGAATATGGTCAAATATAATGAGATTAAGATACCTATTGATTTTGAGGTCACTACATCTGAGGTTAAGGTCATATTTACTAACAGAAGCTTTAAATTTCTTCTGCATGTTTGTCTTCATGTTCATCTTCATCTCCATGGATATTTTTTCTCCAAAGGACAGGTCTTCTACACTTAAACAAAAAGTTCTTTCCATAGTCCGCAATGAAAGTAGGACACCTTTATCGACATATTTTAGCAGTCTCTTGTGACTAAACAGGGAATTACAATGCATCTAGGAAATCTTGGCAATCTATCCACGCACAAAGAAGCATACTTAAATCTGCTTCCTATATCATCAGGTCTTTTTCAATCAGCATCTTTAAATGTAGAAGGAATAACAAAAACATTTGTGTTGTGTTCAAAATTTTGAATGAGCAAATTTATCTATCAGATACAGATTTAGAAAATGTATAACAAGCTGCTATTTTATATAAATGCATTTGAAAATTATTTTGTCATTTACAGCGATGTCAATACCGTATGTAACTATGATGTTCCCAACAGTTGGACTGAATGTAGTTCAGAATTTCACCCAGTTTTTCTTCATAAAACCATCTCTAAGACCACCTCCTGAACCCACCGACAGCAGTATCACGATAAAAGAGGTTCCACCGAAGCATTTATTTATTCGGTAAGATATGGGTTAATCTTTTAAATCGACTTGTGGTGTTGGATGATACCATAGCTTAATAGGGTCACTCATATTGGTAGGACTTTAATATACTAGTAAAACAAATTGAACTGGATAATAATTCCTATCAGAGCTTTAAATTAAGAAATAGGTGCAGGAATGAACAAAAATTAGAAAAACAACTCCTGTACATAAAACTGAAATTTCTTTTGACATGCTTGAAAAATGTCAAAATGTCATAAATAGGATTGCAGTTGAAGACCAGAACCATTAGACCATCCTTGCATCACTTACAGTTCTAAAAATTTTCTATAATATTATAAACTATATACCCTTATCAATTTTTCCGAAACGCAAATAGCAACTAAAAGATTTCAATGAAAGAAAAATAACTAATCAAAGCACAATAACAGATTGGAAAGACCGAAAAATGAAAAGGTCTACATGCAAACAACATCGCATATAAAATGCAAGACTACTTACACTCTCACAATTATCTGCAGCATAATGACAAATATATTCTCAAGAACATTCAAAAGACATATTTCAATATCTGTGCATATTTGATTCTTTGTTTTATTTACAGGACAGTTCCGGGACATGTAAGTACAACAGCAGATTGGGTTAAGCAGGCAAACCTATTGGCAGGTGCAATTAACGACACTTCAAAGTACTACAGTACATTTTTCTTTACCGCAGAATACAGCATTCCGTCAGAAAGTGGCAAGCGTTATAGTGAAGTGTGGTTCTATGCAATGCATTGATGATAACAACATTTGTTTTGTTTACATATGATGCTTCTCATAAAACGCGAATAAAGAAATTGATCTCAGCCTGTGTGAAAAATTAAATGTGATAAACAGTTTTTGAATATTATTTGTTTGAAATTTATTATTCCTCATCGTTTCACTCTTGGTCTGTTGGTTTATGTGTATATATGTTGTTTGTAATTGAACAGAGAGACATATAAAAAACACCCATCACTTTAGACATTTTAGTGTGGAGTCTGTCTCTACTGTTTCACTGTATTGCACACTATTTAAACTTTGTACCACAATGTTTGATGCATCAACCCAAACAAAATTGTAAATATTTGGGTTTAAGTAAAAACAAAAATGTTTCAATCAACACGGGTGCAAACAATTTGAACCCTAGCCGATACATATGTCATTATATTGGATATGTTTCTTTGAATTATCCACAAAAGTTTTTTCATGACACTATTGTTATCCAAATGGGCCCTAACTGTGTAACACTGGTTGTGGATTTATCTAAGACACAACACTCGTCCTTTTACTTCATCATCCGCTATGTTTACATATGATGCTTCTGTTGATACGGAAAAAAAAAGAAATTGATCTCAAGCTGTGTGAAATATTTAATTTGATAGATTTGATATAATTTGTTTGAAGTCTGTATAAGTCATCGCCGTTTTACTCTTAGTCCGTTGTTTATAGCTTATAAAAGTTAACTCTATGATGTGAAAGGCCGACTAATTGCCCGATGCACGAAAAAAAAAAACAAAAAACCCACGCGTAAGGTTTATACAGTGAAATCGAAAAAATATTAACGTTTATTTTAAATTAAGGAATATATCTCCCTCTTGCAAAGCTCTGATTCCATGCCCGGCTTTGGCTATACTTTGTTGTCCTTTTTGGATTATAGCTCTTCATCTTTTCAATAAGCTTAGGATTATAGCTCTTCATCTTTTTAATAAGCTTTGGATTTTCAAATATTTAGACCTTGAGCATCACTGAAGACATTTATTGTCGAAATGCGCATCTATGTGTCCTTTGTGGCCTGTTGATTCCCTTTTGGTTGGGTTTTTCGGTTTTTTTCCATGAGATTGTCAGTTCGACTTCGACTCATCTCTTTGGTACCTTTCGCCCCCTTTTTATGTATTTTCTGATCAAACATTTTTTTTTTGTGTTTTGAAATGATTTACTTGTCCCGTGAAAAACATAATTGATATGAATGTGCACCAACTACAATTCAAATGTCAGACAAACAAAATTTAAAACATTCAAACAATTTGTAATTTAAAAAAAACTTTAATAGTTCTTACAATATTTTATTGATAGCTTTTAAAAAAGAGACCACCCTGCAAATGACGTCTTCGCTTCTTGCCTGCTTCAAGTTGACCCGCTTTGGCTAACAGAAGAACTGATTCTAATGTAACATACATCTCCAACTGGCAATTGAACTAATATTGTAGCGGTGGCAAGCGAAAAGTGACCACCAGAATATAAGTTGACGTTGAACCGATAACATCGGAAATTTTTACAATTACTACTGGTATGTGTGAACCACCAGCGGGAAATGCGACAACGGAAAAAACAAAAACCCCAGCAGATGTACCTGTAAAAATGCCCGTGTGTTTGTTATAAGCATTCCCAACATTCATCGTAATATTATCGAAGATGAAGGTGTGATGCCAACCAGGACTAAGTTCGTCATTTTCCATGTATGCGTAAAATGCTTTTCTTGGTTTTCCTACTTATCTTGGGTAGAGGTTATTTTTTCTGGAAATGTAAAAGTTTTCGTTAGAATAGCCGCATAGAGATTCTTACTATACCCTATATACAGCTAGTCGTTTAAAATATAAGGTTCTTAACTAATAACAAAATGTTAAAACAGAATTGGATGCATGTTACACAAGATGGGTTCCACGTACTGAGCACAATCTGCTAACCCTTCTTTAGCAACTGAGAACACCCCCGTATTTTGGCGGGGTTCGTGTTGCTCTGTCATAACTTTTATTGAAGCTTTTTGTAGAATGTTGGTTGTCTTCTTGTCGTTTTTTTTTCTTTTTTACATGATTGTGTCGGTCTTTCTTCGACTATTTAATGCCATTATTAACAGTGTTGGCTATAAAGTGGCGGTTAATTTTCGTTGGCTGAAGAAGCTGGAGTGCCAGGAGACAATTCCAATCAATTAAGATTGAAGTAAAACGCACCTGTCGTGTACAAAAAAAAATGAAAACAGCACTTTATAACTTTTATGCGTCCAATGCGCTTTTCTGGATTTACCTTCACCAGGAACGCTCAAAACCGAATATTTGAAAGTCAATATGAGAATCGAAACAGGTATATGTCCACTTTGCCTGATGGATTTGAAAGCTTAGTTTCTTTATAATTTAAAAATTTTTAAACGGACAATTTTAGAAAGGTTTGTTATAAGTCATGTCAGCACCGAAATACTGACTACTGAGATGATGATATCCTCGGGTGCTCGTTTGAAATCACAGCATCAGTGTTGACAAGCTAGTGATACAATAGTTGATAACCCCCTCAAAGAGGAGACATACTTGATTATATTGTAAAACTTTTCACACACATTTACCAAAAGCGGAACTCAAACATTAACAATGTATCTACTTATGGGCGTACGTTTTCCAACAGATTTAAAATACCAATCATTCTTTGTCTTTTACTATAACTGAAGAGACCTGTTTCTGTGAAAATAATATTTCTACAGCGATTTTATTTGATCTTAAAGATAATACAATCAATTAATCAACCAATCAAGACATCAAGCAATCAAGCATTACATAGAATGTGTGTATTTCTTTTCGAATATTAAAACCTAAATACATACACAGACGAGGTTTCTTGTATTGTGAGACATGATTAAAACAATAAAACGCACAAAAAGTGTACGAACATTCTATTGCCATTTGACAGTAAGCAATTGAATAAAAATTTTGAAAATGATGCTTTTTCAGACATTTGTTGTCAAAAGCAGTTTTTAAATTATTCACAACTGTCAGTTTATTTCACAAAACAAATTTATTAACAATATAATTGTCTAACAAAGATATAGCCTCTGAAAAAATCCGTTTACCTGTCCTTCAAGCAACCGAATAGAATTTTTACTAAAGTGTCCGCTTAAACTTTTTATTTTACTTTTGGAAAACTGCAGTTAAGGAAATGAAAAGACCATAACACATACCATGTTATAATTTTATATTGGTCAACTTGACTCTAACATTGTCTCACGACTACATCTAATATTACACAAAGTAAAATGAACAATAATATTGAAGCAAAGGGAGGAAATTACAAACTGAATGTTTAAGTACAAAATAAATGTAAGGTTACGAAATGACTTCTTCTGACAAAATGTATAAATTAGAGGGAAAAATCCATACCTTGGAGGAGCGAATTATATTTCCACAAACCACAAGATGATACACGTTTACCAACGTTTCTTACTTGGCCCTATATTACACATACCATCGGTCATATAACGAAGATACAATTAAGGACTATTTTTGTTTTCAGTCAAGTGTGGCAAAAAAATCTCCAAAGATACTAAACCCTCTAGCATAATTGTCTAATTGGCAATTATTCCGCATCTTGCTATTTTTGTCTCATTGACAATCAGAACACCTCTTTTTATTTTTATACCTATGTTTGTTTAATTCTAAGGTTACTTTTTCGTTTTTAATTTTTCTTGTGCACTGTAAGACATAAGATTAAACAAAATATTATATACAATAAAAATTCAAATTTAAAGTTACAAAAAGAAGTAAAGACAGTAAAAATTTTACGAACATCAAGTAGATTTAGTTGAAACACCATTTTACGAACATAAATTTCCTATTTAGATATTTTATTGATCATTCTTAAAAAAAGAATCTACCCTGTTCCACATGTGGTACCTGTCGTGTTGCTCATGTAAGTACAAACCCGGTAATGAGTCTAATTCGGTAGGTTACATTCGCGGTAAAGAAGGACGGTATTGTAGTTACGACAATTGGGCCATATCCGTCGTTATCTGTAAAACAGATATTCAATAACGGTCAACAAACTTATGATGGCGTCCGTAAATTTTTTCAAAGGCTTGGTTTAATAACTTCCTTGTGAGCAGCAACCCTTTATCCATGCTGGAATGTTACTACATGAAAATGGAAAATTCACAATTGGAAAGATAAAATCATCTCTTTTGTCTTACAGTTTTTGTTCTCAACCGACCCTCGTTGTCAATTTCTAGATTGAAGTCAAGATATGAGGAAGACCTAGCTGTATCCTTTGTTTCTTTTATTTCAAGTTAGATGGGATAGATGCGTTTAACATAGTCACCAGAGACCTGCGATTTACCGCCCGATTAAGTCTTGTAATATAATCGTACTACACCAAAAACCGGAGTCAAAACAAATTATATAATTAACGTTATGCATTTACATAAGAAGGAGACATAAATGATTTTTCACATATTTGCCTTAATCAGATCTCAACCAATGTATTGATTTATTGGTTTGATTGATTTGAATGATGTTTAACGCCTCCATCAGCACTATTGTGCTATTTCGTTGGTGTCAGACTTCAATTTCGGAGAAAGCCGAAGTGCCTCGTGAGAACCACCGACCGTCGGTAGGAAATCTGACAATCCTAGTCAGTAAAGATTAGATTCGAGCGCACCTGCCTCGTGCGTGATTAGAACTCACAACATCGGTGTTGACAGGTTAGTGACACAGCAGTTGGACTACTAAGGCATTTCGTCCATCGAGGCCATTGATTTATGGGCATTTGTGTTAAATGGATTTATGTTATCCTTTGATTTTAAAAAGTAAAATAACAAAAATACCGAACTCCAAGGAAAATTCAAATCGGAAAGTCCCTTATCAAATTGCAAATCAAAAGCTCAAACACACCAAACGAATGGAAAAAACTGTCTTATTCCTGACTTGATACAGGCATTTCCTTATGTAGAAAACTGGTTTTATAGCTAGCTAAACCCCTCACTTGTATGACAGTCGTATAAAAATCTATTATATTGACAACAATGTGTGATCGAAACAAACTGACATAATAGGTATGTTTTACATTTCTTACCGATATAACATGTTACTTTTATTATTCTTCTCTTAGTTT